TGAGGAGTGCATAATATGTGGATTTTGCTTACTAAGATGCTTTAAATCAGCCACAAATTTGACATTACTACTTCTTATAAACAAAACAGTGTTTCTCATTCCTGCAAGCTGGCAGACACCCTGTTCAGTTCACTTAATTCAGCAGGGACACAGAAAGATTTTTTTATTATTTTTTTCTTTAGCAGTAGAAAAATTGTAGCTTGGGGGCATGTTGCTTTGACAGATTGGGGTTATATGGTTGAAGCTGACCTATGCAGCTTCCTTCCCCTTCCCCCTCCTGTCAGGCAGGATGAAGCATGTATGATTGGAAGTGGCTATCCTTATTTTGCTCTTTATCTGATGGAAGGCCACCACAGTAGTCAAGAAGGACTCATTATAGCTTTTGGTTTTCCTGTGAGGGATGCTTGAAAGCTCAGTGAAGAACCTGTAGAAATAAAAAATAAGATATTTCAGCTGTGTGGGAGGGAAGCATTTAATCACAGTGAAGAATAGGGGATTGCACAGTCAAATAAGCAGTTCTTAGCAGATTTTAGAGACCAGCAGTGGGAAGTAAGAAGGGTGTATGGAATAGGAGTGTAGGAAAGCATAAATGGAAATGAACTGAAGAGAGATAATAGCATCATATTTAGAATCTGTCACTTTATCAGAATTATGTTGACTGGTTATTAGCAAAAGAGAAGGAATTGGTTTTTTAGAGGAAGAAGGGTTTCATTTCCCCTTCATTAGCTGAGGAACCTGCTGACAGGAATTAAGGCAGAATATTACTAAATGGGGGTTTCAGCCACTCCCTCCTGTCTGCAAGAAAGGGTTATTTTTAACCCAGATCTGCTCAGTGACTGCATTTGCAGCATGGGCCTGCAAAAAAAAAAAAAAAAAACCCTCTGCTGGCAAAAACTAAGGCTGCTTTGTGCTGCTATGTGAGAATGGGAAGGAGAGGTCTGGGGTGGGAATCCTGTGGGGCAACAGTGCCCCTGATGCCTGTGTCATGAAAAAATGTGCCTCAAGTTAACTGTTGTCCTCTGACCTCAATCCATGCTGAAACAGAGGCTTTGCATAATCATTGAAGGAGACGGTTCCTGCTGCAAAAGATGTTATGTTTTGAATTGCCAAAATGGACAAAGGAGATATTGTCAGCCCTTCACACATAGGAAACAGAGGCAGAGAGAGAGATTTGTTTGGGGCATATAGGCTAATTTTGACAGAAGGGGTACTTATACTCAAGTTGCCTGAATTCATTTGTGTACTACAGCTGCAAGATTGCCCTTCCTTTCTAATATTGGATTTTTTTCTCCCTGAAACTTCAGTTCTAGTACAGGTTGTTTATCAAAAACTTGATTTCATTTTGCGCTGTTTAATAAATATGCTAGCAATTCTTTCCTCAGACAAAACTGTGCAGCTTCCATGCCGATCCAAGTTGCAATGCTGAAGTTGCAAATGCCCCAGGGACCTTCGGGTGGATTTTCACGTTGGGACCACCAGGGACAATAATGCGAGGAAAGGTAGAGCTGTGACATTGGCTTCTGCTTTTCTTTGTCCTCCTGGGGATCACAACCCTATGGATATGTAGAAAGGGAGCCTGCAAAAGTAGTAATGCTGTTCTGCCCAGCTTGACATAGGAAGAAAAAGAAAATAAATACCATACTAACTAAAATGTCCATTTTTCTTGCTCAGGCTTGTTAACTCCAGGAAGGCCAGTGAGTCTTGGCATTGCATGACCAAACTGGGGCTGATTGGGTTTTTTATGAGGCAGTATTGAGTGGAACCATCTGGGCTAGGAGAAGACCATACTTCTGAAATGAGCCTTTAGGAATACTTAAGTTAAGTAGCTGTCAGGGGCACCATGCTGAAAGGAAGGGCACTCACAGCTGCATGTATTTTATAGGTTTATTTTATCTCTGATGACAAAAGAGAACTTACTAGTCATGTGGTTCCTCATAAATTTCAAGCCACTGCTGACAAGTGGCACTGCCTGTGTTCTAAGCCATGGTGGCGCAAAGTTCCCCTGACTTTCTGGCTCCTGATGTTAATAACAATGCTGCTAATGGATGATGCTGTAGAGAGATAACCTAACTTTTCGCTGAACTTAAAGGCAATATCCAACTTACAGTTAGAGAATGGAAACTTCAGTATCTTAAGTACCTTGGGTGAATACTTCCGTGGTCATTCATCTAAGATCAAAGTGGCTCATCTCTGGTTCCTGAGGCCCCAGTCTTCCTAAAGGTGTGCTGTTCACTTTCCTGAGAGCTGAGGGAATCTGCACCTCTAAAACTAATATCCTTCCAGAAAGCTAAATACAGTTTTGGGAGCATAACTTTCAGTATGTCAATGGTGCATCTCAATTTAGGCAGTTTAAACTATTCTTTTGCATTGCAGTCTCTCTTTGGTTTGGGTTGTGGTTTTTTTTTCATTTATGCCCCATTGGAGCAGCTTCCCAAAGTACCTCCAGAGGCCTGGTTCTACTGCCTGTATTCCAGTTTCCAAAGATACATCTTACTTGCGTGTCAGGAGGCAAACTCCCCTTCTTCGAGCACTTTTCTATGTGACAGACCTGGAAAGGGACACATCAAATTCAGTATAATTTCAGAAGATGTAGCCTATTTTCCTATGCTTTCTATTCACTGAGATGAATCTTAGAGAGAGATTGCTCATGGTAAAATATTTATCAGTGTATCGCCTCAACTAAGATAATAGCTCTTGTAGTGCAGGTGTGAAGAAAGAAATACTTGCTCCTTAACCTTTTTTCAATCCATATCCTGTTCAAGCTGTCTCTATTCCAATGGACCCTAGAAGCTTTGCATGATATTTATTAATCTGATTTACTAATAGACTCCTAGAGTTGAGAGAGAGAGAGAGAAGACAAACTGGACTCAAACTTACAAGAACCAGATTCGTGGCAGCTCTGCCACAGACACCCATTTGACTTCATGCACATCATTTAATATTTGTGGTTCCCCTGTCTACAAAATGCAGATACTAATTCTTTTTTTTTTCCCTACCCATACCTGTGTATACTGCAGGTTTGGGCAGGAATCAGCTCCCCCTCATACATCACAAACGAGTCCCTGGTCTTAGGTGAAACTCCTGGTTGCTTCTGTAAGCCACATAATAATAATTGGCTTCAACCTGTTTCAGGAAAAAAATGCAACCTTTGGATTACATTGGTGCAAATAAAAAGTCCACTGCAGTTCACAAGTCAAAAAATGCTGGTAGTGTTTAGCATCAGTATCTCTTGCTTGAACATGCGGCATTCATCATTGCTTTCCTTTTCCTTCCTCTGTCATATTTTATCCCCATCTGTCAGATGTTTCTTAGCACTGTCTATATAAATCATAGCTGCATCTCAGTCTGGGTAGTTGAATCATTACAGGCTACAATCAAAATGAAGGAAAAAGAGGTAAATTTAAAGGAAGTGTTTCTCTTACGCACTCTGCTCCCCTTCTTTTGTACACAGACAGTACTAGACAATATTACTAGACAGCATGATACCCTTGCTATGAAGAGAGATGGAAAAGTTTCCAAAAATAGCAGATGTTTTTACCAGCCCTAGTTCCTAATTCTGAAGGCAGAAAGCAGGAGAGGAGTTGGAGCCAGAGTGGACACCCATTGCCATTGTTGGAAAGACCAAAATTTACTGCTTTGGAACAAGCCTTCAGCAAGTTAGTAATAAATTGGGAAAGCCAACATTCCTTAAAATCAGACTTCCTGGGCAGTGTCTTTGATGTATTTTCTTAAAATTAAATTACTCTTATTGCAGTAGTTTAGGTTACTGCTAGGAATAATAATATTGAAGGTGCTAGGAAAATATGGATGTGTTATTAGCCAAAACAGATTTTTTTTTACTCCCCCCCCCAAAAAAAACTGCAGTGCCCTCGCAATGGCCGTCACATTCAGCTCTCCCAAGCCGTGCCAGCAGAGCAGTGAGCCATAGCAGCATTGCAAAGATGCATTTCTGATGGGGAAATGAATCCACCGCCACCCCTATATGGAACATTTCCAGTAGTATGTGTGCATTACCCTGCCAAAGCCAGGTGCTCCCGTTTGTGCACAGTGTCACACAGCCCCATGTGCTGGGAGCACATGTGGATTTAATTCCCTGCCAGCTTTAGCAACTAGAGAAGGTATTTCTTTGTTCTAGAAACATTCGGAGACACTATAGTCCCAAGCTACTGGAAGTGAGGGGAAAAAAGGCCCATTTCCCTCTGTCTGGAGAGGGCTGTTGCAGACTGCCATCACTATCAATCCCAGAACTTTATCCAGGCTCAAGGTGGGCTGAAGCTAGAGGGTCTCTTTGTGCAAGACAGCTGTGATGTTTTCAGTTTAAGGGACAGCCTGTATTGTTGGGGACTTAATTATACTTGGAACAGCAACTACTATTGCTGGTTGTCAACTCATATCTCCTCTTTCTACAAAGCATATTGCATTCCTGATTTCCCATTATTTTTCACTTATGTTCCTGTGATGTTATCCTGCTACTCACTGCAGACTCCCAAATTTCAGCTCAGCAGCCAGATCAATCAAGTAGCAGGTGTCCTGGTCAGCATCTGCATGAAGTGAAAATGATAGGCCTAGCTCATAAACAGACCAGTTGCTGGGCTGTCCTGCAGAGCAAGTCCTGGCTGATTCAGAGGGTGCATGGTTGTGTGAAAGGCCAGGCAGTCCCTGAAGTCACAGTTGCTCTCTGAAGTTGGTAGATGGGTTGAATCCTGATGATTTGTTCTCGATATTGCAGTCTGTTGCTGGAAGTGGATGTCCCGGTGAAAGCATTACTACTTAGCAAGACCAAAATGGTGGGCAATGAGAAAGAGAAACATGGGTCTAATGCTGCACAAACTACTTCACATGAGATATTGCAAGAAGAAAATAATCCAAGAGTACAGTGGAATGGATGCTGTGATGTTGATTTACTCTTGTCTTTTTGGTATCTGCACTAGATCTCAGCTTGCCAAGCATCTTTCTTGTTACTAGCAGAGTATTTATTTTACTTTCTCTTCTTCTTGTAGAAAATTTTACTACATCACACTGCTGAGAGACCCCGTATCTCGTTACCTCAGCGAATGGCGTCATGTCCAACGAGGAGCTACTTGGAAGACCTCCTTGCACATGTGTGATGGCAGGACACCAACTCCTGAAGAGCTGCCATCGTGCTATGAAGGCACGGACTGGTCAGGCTGCACGCTGCAGGAGTTCATGGATTGCCCATATAATTTGGCCAACAACCGCCAAGTGAGGATGTTGGCTGACTTAAGCTTGGTGGGCTGCTACAACATGTCTTTCATCCCAGAGAACAAGCGAGCACAGATCCTGCTGGAGAGCGCAAAAAAGAACCTCAAAGACATGGCCTTCTTTGGCCTGACAGAGTTCCAGAGAAAGACTCAGTACCTGTTTGAGAGAACTTTTAATCTGAAATTCATCCGGCCCTTTATGCAGTACAACAGTACCAGGGCGGGAGGAGTGGAGGTGGATAATGACACCATTCGGAGGATTGAGGAGCTCAATGACTTGGACATGCAGCTCTATGACTATGCAAAGGACCTCTTCCAACAGCGCTATCAGTACAAACGGCAGCTGGAGAGGATGGAGCAGAGGATAAAGAATCGGGAAGAGAGGCTTCTTCACCGATCCAATGAAGCACTTCCCAAGGAAGAGACTGAAGAGCAAGGACGCTTGCCCACTGAGGACTACATGAGCCATATTATAGAGAAGTGGTAGCCTAGGCAGACTTTTATATTAATGATATTCTAGGGTTTCCATATAAAAGATCATGGAAGTAAAATTACAAAAACAACAAAAAATATTTTATTTAAAAGCAAGTCTGTAAAACAGAAGATAGATTGCTTCCTTAAGCATAGGGTCTTTTTACTGTTTCTTACAAGACCAATGATATTCTTAAAAAAAAAGAAATACATAAAAATAAAAAAAAGGTCAACATTATAATGCAGAGGTAAAAAATGCACAAATGCAGTTGCCCACTCATAAGGCCAAATACAAAAGAATGTTTATTATCCTCACAATTCAAACACAAATGGCAGAAGTAGGATTTTTTAAATCTGTTTATCCCCTGAGCATAATGATATAAAGATACATAATTAAAAAACAAGGAAACTGAGGTTTTCTTTTGTGGGTGTTTTTGGAGGTGGAATGGGAATTGCAATGCTTGTAAGTAAATGATAATGGTGACTAAGTTGAGGATGTGCTATCCTGTCAAGCTGTGATCTGAGCACAAGGGTGGTCACTTCATTTCAGCTGGCAGCCACTGCCAGAAAGTAGAGCACCATAAAAATAAGGAAAACATCAGAGGATGAGAAGTATTAAAGCAAATTGGCTATGGCCTAGGATACGTACTTAGCACAGTGGTTTTGATGCATTGCACTGGTATCACGTATACATATGCAACTTCATCACAAAAATAATAGGGGATTCATGCACAGAGCTTCCAGATTTGTTTCACAGGCAGGTCCCAAAACAAGTTAAAAGCCAGCCAAATTCCACATAGGCTCAAACGTGCACTCACATGCCATCCTGTCACCCTACGCAACTGCCGCTCATGCCTTCATCAGTATTATGTGTTAACAGCACATGAAAACTCTATCATACATACTAAAAAAAAGGAAGACTTTAAATAGCAAGAATCCCTCATAAATCTGCATGACAGGTTCCAGGAAGACCCTGCAAATAATCAGTCATTAATGGGGACATGATGAGGAGGTGATTTTGTTTTGTTTGTTGCTGTGTGAAATACTGAACTAGAACAAGCATACAGACATACCCGTATCTGCATTTTTTCAGTTATTTTTACTTGCTTTTATCAAGACATAATGGGCATCAGAACTGATTTAAGTGAGAACAGGATGGGGCCCTCTTCCAGAGCTGTGAAAATTTCTGACTCTGGGTCTGAATTAATTATGAGACAGTGCACATTGTCTTTTGGCAGAGTGCCTGTTCTGCAGCTCGTACTTTAAATGAACAAGCTGTGTTCATAAAACTGGAAAGGGGAATCACGGATAATGTTTTTTTAATCTCAGACCACTTTCAAAGCAGAACTCTTTCAATGCTGTTTTTTAGGCACTCATGTAGGTTTAATCCTCCAGTGTGGTGACAGTCTAACCAGGTTCTGCTTACTGACTTTTGAGTCATAGAACAACAATGACTTCTCTAATTCCTCTTCCCACTCACCAAATTAAAGTATGGCTTATTTTCTTGCTGTTGCAAACACTTCTTTGTTTGCCTGGAAGCATGGAAATGAAGCAGTTTTTGCCTGTTTCATGTCTCACCCCGTTATTACTCAGCCTGTAAGACCTGAACCAGCTATTGTTTAGGCTAAACTATGAACCAAATGGAATATGATCTGATTTTCAAAGGCCATGTTAACTGGAGATCAAATATGGCATTGAAATCACTAGAGAGGCAGAGAGCTGATACATTCAGCTTTAGCATGTCATTTTTACAGTGTCCGTTTCCCATCCTACAAATCCACTGAAGTGCTGCTTGTTTTGTATTTTAATTCACTCTCTCTGCCTCTGTACACAGTTTCCAACAGTTTCAAATTCAGACTGAGTTTTGCAAAGGACGTGGCTGCCTTAAGCAGAGGAGCTGTCTTGTTTCCTCTGTGTACACCCTGGGGGATACACCTTGCTTTTGGAGATGTTCTTCTCCAGAAGAATGAAGATGACTAAAAACTTAAGAACAGAAAATACAAACAGCACTTTGGGCTCAAATACAACCCTGTTACAGTCCTGATCCAAAGTCCACTGAAGTCAAAGGATGTCTTTTGTATTGATTTCAGATTAATTTTGATCGGGTCTGCATCCTGGTGCTGCAAAGTGCCTAAGCACATGCTCCTCCAGCTACAAGCACAGTGGGACGTTGTTACCCATGCATTTGGCTGGTACCGATATTTGCTAGTGGTGTCGCTGTCTTTAAGGTTCTGCCACAAATGGCTCCTGTTCCCAGAGATGTGTAGCTTGGCCATAAGCATTTCCTCCTAGCTGAAAAGTGGGAAGCAAAATGAAGCCATTTTCGATTGTTGGCTTGGGGGCAGAAGGTATTACAAATCCATTTGCTCATCTCTGCATTCCAAGACCGGGAGGAGCTACGTCTGCTAGTTCCCAGCACTTTTATGTGTTGCTGTAACTAAAGAAAACATTTATATTTAAAAAATGCAATTTTACAGGCTGTTTACCCACAAAAACAATACATAAGATATAAAAAGCAACTGGTTTACATGCACAGTTTCCAGCTTTCCCCAAAGGCTTTTCACTGTGCATCCTGTGTTATGGATCCATAATGCACAAATGGTTACTGCAGCTAATCCGTATCTGAGGTGTACCTCGGCGCAGCTCTGGCAGGGCTGTGCAGTGAATGCCCAGGCAGGCCTGCGAATGCCAGCACTGACTTCTGAAAGGCATTCTGTACTGAAGGCCAAATTGTGCTCTCATCTACCAAAGGGTGACAGTAAATGGGACTGTGTATGATTAGGACCGGCATAATTTGGCCTAGTTTGCCTGAGTTGTTTCTGTTATGGGCTCTAAGTAACCAGCTGGATTTTAATGGATTTGTCTGCAGGTTCTCTAAATCAGAGGCAGCCTCTGACCCTAGAAGCATGTCAGTAGAAGACCTTGTTCCAACATTTTCTTTGTAAGATATTACAGTAACAAGCAAAGGAAATGAAACTATCTTGAAAACTGTCTTGTTAACAGTTTCACTTCAACCCACAAAAGGAAGGCTGACCTCAGCTTAACACTGAGGCAGAAATTTCTAGATTCAAATCCTGCACCCAGCAAATGCCTCAGTTACTCCACCTGTACATTGGGAATAACAAATTTACACAATCTAAAGAGGCACTCCAAGGTACAACAAGTATAGGGCACTTTGAAACAGATTCTAAGTATTGGAAATTAAGAGAGTGACCCAAAAGCCATCCCTCGCCCTGGCTGCTGTGCTGGTCTGTTGATGGCTGTAGGCCATGCGTGCTGTGTGCCAGAGCATGGGCTGCAGGACATACCTGGCACTATTTTCTTCCTTTAGTGGGTTTAAGGGAACATTTTTAACATAATGTGAGTGTAGTTTTTCGTGATTTATATGTACTACATACAGTTTGAAGTGGTACAGTTTCTTTCATTTTTAGGACTGATTATCTGATGCTACAAAAACATGAAAAATGTGTGTGTAGTTTTAAAATTAATGGAGAACAACAGCTTTAAGGCGCTCCGGCAGAAGTAGTGGCCAGATAGTACATTGTTCAGTATCTGCCCCTTTCTTCCAAAATGTTTTTCCTGTGACTTCCAGATGCACTGAGACCTTCTTCACTACATGAAGTGTTTCTTCAGGGGGCCTGTCAATGCATCATGATGCAGGTCAGGATAGGTGAATGCTGGGTACAGTGAGGGCAGGTGCAAGATTGCGACCTGTCTCTTACTGGAGTTGGTGAGGCAGCTCCCCTTGAATTCAGATTTTATGTAGTTGGATGCTTGACCATCCCACAATGTTTCTGCCATGGTTCCAGGGATACCCCATGAAAAGCCTTTACAAAAGCTGAGGGTGTGTAAGGTATTCTAAGAGTTTATACAGTATTAGTGTGAGTGAGCATTTTGGACAGGCAGTTACCTGGTACCAGGCCAAAGATGATGGCTCTTAGCCTCTGCCGTCTTACACTGTGCTGACTCTTGCACATCCACAAATGAGGGTGATGCTGAGTGGGGATTTCCTAGCAGACTCCATTCCTGCTTTGGGAGGGTGGAAAGGCCAAGACATCCTGCAGTGCTAAGAAGGACATCTTTTTTTGCTTTTAGTCACCTGAACAGTGTGAACTTCACTGCTTGGTGGGTGTTGTTGCCGAAGAAAACTTTTTATTGCTCATTTGTCTCATTCCAGCTAGCTCTGTTGAAGGAGTTTGCCTCCACCAAAGTTTACCAGACAGTCAGATGCCACCTTGTACCCTACCCAGGTCAAAAAATGCAGAACTGACTGGTAAGGTTGCAGACTCAGGCTGTCATGGGGTTCACAGCCATCAACAAAAAAAACTCAACAAAGGATCAGTGTGAATTTCTGGCTTGCCTGAATTTCTCCCTTTGTGCCCAACATTTTGGAATAAATGGGGAGCAATTCAGGTTGATGTTTTTGCACCCCATAGTCCCTTACTTGCTTACAAAACTGGGATGGCAATGGAAGCAGCATAAGGAAGATCCCAACAAGCTTTTGATTCCTCTCTCCCAGGGCTGTCCTGTAGGAGCAGAAAGGGCAGCACAGTTGCTGAGAGTATGAGCGAGACAGAAGGACCACCACAGTGGCAGGACGGACGTGTCAGTTAGGAAGTTTTCACTCTGAGCCCATCAAATCACTTCACAGAAAACATAAAACAGCTACAGAAGGTAATGACTAACATTACAGAACAGGGCCTGAATAAGATTTATATCCTGGGGTTAAAAGCATCTCTAGCTTCTTACTGGTATTTAGAGTTACTCAGACCCCCTCCTGTCCCGTAGAATTTTCCGAATGTCACAAAAATGGGTAGCGCTACAGGAATTCACAACACAGACTATACTAAACATTGTATTTCCAGGGCTATAGCTTGGAATGCAACTCACAGTGTCTGCTGGATTCAGATCACAGGGCTGGCTGCGTTATCTTTTTGTTCTTGTTTTCACTAATATTAGCAGATCATGTTCCAGTGGTAGAAATGAACGCAGGATTCGCTGCCTGATCAGCCGTAGAGCAAAGCTTTCAAAGCACAGGTCAGTTAGCAGCAGTTCAGGTAAACCAGTGAGCAGTGGAGCTCGTGTCTGC